CTCTGGATAAAATGACCCTCTGTCTTATTGTTGTTCATCAATAATTCTTCTTCTTATTGTTATTATTATTAATAATATTTGCATCGTTATTTCATTATATTACATATTAATGAAGCTTACATTCTTTCTGGTTATATTATGTACAGTCAGTCCTTTAGTTTTAATGGTTTATGTTTCAGGGCATAAGAGAAATAATCTATTCCTTATTAGATCTTAAAAATGTGAAGACTACAACCTCAGAGAAACTACAAAACATGACCTGTTAGACCATGCTATTATTTATTTAACACCAATTAAGCCAAAAGCTGCTCATTTAACTGCAAAAGCAGTTTGTGAAAAACCAATAATAACTCAGATTAATGGTTATGAAGAATATCTTTTGAGTTTCTTCATAGGTTAGATTTTAGACTTCAAGTTTATTCCCTCAATCATGTTGTCATATTTTAGTCTCTGTGGTAGGTGTTTTGCTGTTTGTCATACATCCTGTTTTTGGGGGGGATTTTTTGGTAGCGCTTCTCTTGTGTGCATTGGATTTTAGCTCCCTTGTCTTACTATGGCTGTTTAGTTTTAACTGTGTTTAGTTTTTAACTGTGTACTCTGGAGTTTCCCACATTACCTCACATGCCTACTTAAAGCATCAGTCTAGTCTAATTCTTTGTCTCGTTGAATTGCTGCCAACTGTTACTTCCTGGCAACTGAAAAGTAGTCAAATATCCAGCCAGAATAATGCCAAAAGTGTGTTGATGACTACCAAAGAATCTGGTTGAGGTGCAACTTGTTGCTCTTTTCTTTACTTGTGATATTCATATGTGTTATATTTGCTGTAATTTGTGAAGCTCTCTTGGCATATATATACATATATAACACATATATAATATATATATATATATTTATATATATATAACAATAACACTTTCAGCATCAGAGAAATTAATAATTTTAGTCACTACAGAGACCCTTTATTACTGTAAAAGACATGTAAATCAATTTAGTAGCGAGAGGAGGTTAAAGTCCTTTGTTTTGAATTTCGGTGGCACAGCAACCTTCTTGTTTATATTGAAACACAACTGTACCTTTAATGCCACCGATCAATGTGGTCACCAGGCCGTGAATCAGATCTAAAATTCCATCAAAACATTCATCAACCGTCATTACCGCAGTGATAAACAACCCCGCAGCAGATAGCAGTTGCAGTGCCATTTGTGGTTTTGCATGAGGCAATCGACAGATCTTGACATGATCCCCATTCACCGTCAGAGTGTTTGGGGGATAATGGCTGCATTGTTTTTGGATTCATCAGCAAAAGCCGGCACTTGTTCTATTTTTGAAAAACCTTTTATGCAGGTGCTAACCGTGCATGGGAGTGTTGATGTCAGTGTCTGAGATGATTGGGTCGCTGCTAATCAAACAGAGGTTAATGCTGTGCGTCATACGTCGCCTCTTGATATTCATTACCCTGAATAACCTCTGCAGAAAGGCAACACATGACTATATGGGAATACAGTATTTGT